CCACCCGCCGCTCTTAAATCTCCCGATTCAGCCAAGCGCCCGCCGCATCAGGGAAAAGCCGGGAGGCTGGGATTTTTTTAAACCCCAAAACTCTGTGTTGCTACGAGAGAAATTCAATTAGTTGATGCAAGACAGGAACAGAACATGTCATAATTAAACTTTGACAAATCAGGGTAGACTGCTGCTCTGAAACAGTAATTGCATCTTACTTTCTTCAAGCATTATGTAGAGTAGTCAATATTAAAGAGTATTTTTAGTGCAGGTTTAAGTATTCCCGTTGGCTTTTGGAATTCTCTGTGACTAGAGGTTATCTACAGCTTATCAGAGAGGACAGCTGGGCTCATCTGGACCCACTCACTGTCTGCACCAGGCACGGCCTCCGAGAGCCTCCCATTGCTCTGCTGCTGGAGAAACACCCTCTTCTCCATCCCTCTGTAACCAGCTCTGCAAAAAGCAGAACGGGCCTTCTCAAGCACATCCACTGATAAAGCCTCCCTTCAAAAAGCAAAACATACAGACCAGCTACAGTCATAAGTCCCATTCACGAGCTTTCTGAGGTGACCTTAGAGATATCCATCCGTCAGAATTCATCCCTGAGGCAAAGGAAAAACCAACAGTTACTATTTGTGGCCTTCAGTTCAGCAACAGAATCAACACGGCTACAGTGTTTATGAAAGTGCACAGGCTCCAAAACAAGAAAAAAGAAAAGCTCGAGTCCTCAGTCTGCAAGGCCTATCTAACAGAAAGCACATCCTGCTCTCCTGCTGTGCCTTACCACAGCCAAGCCTCTTTCTTCTCTTTTACAAACAGCACTTGATAGGAATCCAGGACTCTGTCAGTAAAGCCAGCAGTCAGGGCGAGCGAGCTCACAGGGACAGCTGCGAGGAAGAAACATTCCTCAAGGGAGGGCAAATTTTTACCGAGGCCACTGCTTTTCCTTATCTGTCAGAGGAACGTAGATCACGCCCATCAGTTGCGTTTCAATGATCTGCCCATCGCTGGTTTTGTCGTACTGCATCAGAACTTGGTTTGCACCTTCGGGACCAACAGGCAGTATTAACCGACCTCCTGGCTTCAATTCATTCAGCAGCTGGCAAGCAGAGAAAATTGGCATCAGCAGAGCCAAAAAGAGACAACAGAAATAAGCCATGCTGTGAAGGTCATGACACCTTCAAAAGCACAGTCTTGCCAGCTCAATATAAAACAGGCAGAAAAAGAAGAGCCCAGTGGTTCTGTAATTATTAGTTTTTTCACAGATGCAGGCAGCCCACAGCAACAGACATCCAGCATGATAACTCTTACCTCCTTTGGTACAGTTGCTGCTGCTGCTCCAACATGAATGGCATCATAAGGAGCCTCTTCGGGGTATCCCTGCCTGCCATCTCCAACTACAGCAGGAAAAAGCATGCAGAAAAGACTTAAGTTCTGATAACTCCACGCAAAAAATAATTCTTCCTACAGACTTTCAGTTGAAATCTAGATGATGAAAACTTTTGTAATAGGATTGTGATGGGAATTTTAATTTTGTTGGTTTACTTTTTAAAAATGGGGAGAGATTTCTGGAACTGAGCCATGCTAGAAGAAGGAACAGTCAAAGCCAGGAAGGCCTTTCACTAACGCAGTGACTCTGTGCAGACTCAAGATTCCAGACACAGAAAGAGCTGACTCAAGTTATCACTCCCAAAACCACAACAGTGTGTGCAGACCCATTCAAATAAACTAAACCCCAGATGTGGCACGACCACACTCCTCTGAGGAGCATCTCCTACTGCATTAAGATAGTCACTGCACACTAGGGAGTAACAGGTACGATAAGACTGCCTGTAACATTAAATACAGTAGTTTACACGGGTAGTGTGCAGGTCAGTATGGCACAGTGTTTACTTAGCTAGTGGTTTCTGGCAACACCATGGCAAGCATCAGCACAAACTGGAAGAGCTGCTTTGAGAAGCAGAGCTCTGCAGGCAGCCAGAGCTAACGCATGTTCACAGGAGAGAACAAGCATCAGGACTCCAGAGAGCTCACCCACAAGCTTTACACGGCCAGAGCTCAGCAAAGCTGGATCGTCTTCTTGGACGTTTCTGATGGATTCATGTACCAGCTCTTTAATGTGCTCTACACCCACAGCTTTCCCTGTTGGACCCATCTAAAAAGAAAAACAGCAGACAAACACCTATACACCTCCTATATGATAAAGATGTATTTTAGAGGGCAAGTTACTGTGGGGATTGGAGAATTTCCAGGAAGAAACTTAAGAGCAGAGTTTCTGAACAGGAGGTGCAAATATGCTTTCTGGTTGGTTTTAAGGCTGAGTAGTCCCCAATTATATTAGCTACTCGAGGGATACACAGACACTGCCTACAGGGATTCCTAGTAATTCTTAATTTCCAAAGAAATAATTATATTTGGTAGAATTAGCAGCGTCTGTGGCAGGGCCAGTTCTTGACTAACTGACCTCCTGAGAAAAGTAACTTGACCAGCTTTCTAGCACTTCACAGAAAGTAATTTCAGGAGTTTAGAAAAACAATAAAACAGACTGTGCCTACTTAAGAAACAAATGAAAAAGAACCTGCAATGTGCTTGCACAGTAGATGAACACACTCCTCTCGATCTGAACTGGATTAACATACAAAACATCTCATGGCAGATACAGCATCCATTTAGATTCCCAAAGTGATTGTATTTCTTTTTACTACAAGCTGGTCTGGGAAGAGCTCACCCCTTTCTCCCACCTCTTCTCCCTGCAAAAAGCATATGCCAGCTATGGCAAGCTGCCTGTCCTGATGCACCTTACTAGCTAGAACTGGAGTCCTGTGAGCTCACCATCCTGGCAAAGCAAGCTGTAAGATATCCACTTCCAGATCCAACATCCAGCGCTTTTGCACCTTCCACAAGCTGATCCTTTAGCAATTCCAGTGCATGGGCATGCTGGGTGGACAAGAAGAACGAGAAGGTGTGAAACATCCCATTTTAGTTTCCTCTCCTAAAATTTTTTCTTGTCCTAAGCATTATCTTCTCTGATCTAAACACAGTACACCTGGGATTTTGTCTGACATGCAGAGTGAAATTCAAGTGTTTGATCTGGAAGATCTTTTTGCAGAACAGCATTTAGGAAGAGGTTCAATAATAAAATGTGAAGCAGCAGAAAAAAAGGTCTCGTGCAAAAAACAGACAACGTTAGCGGTTAGCCTCAGTTGCACAGAATTCCTGTCTAAGCAACTTAAAGCTTACAGGGCAAACTCTTCTTAAAAGGAAAAAAGCTTCACATATACAGTGCCTAAAGAAACAAGCATGATAATCATGTCCAGGGGATCTGTTCCACCTTTCTATTTTATTATTTAGGAAAAAGAAAAAATAAAATAAAAAACAGAAAACAAAGAATTTCCTCCATTTCTGTTAAAAGTGGAAAGTTTCATCTCACCATGTGCGGTGCGCTGATTGTGGCCTTGTATCCTAAAAGGAAACGAGTGACAAAAGTTATGTGATAAAGAAATGACAAATAAAATTACCAACGTGAACAGTTCTTTTTTCTCCCCCACTTTTCCCTAAAAATATGAGAACACTCTTTTGCCGCATTAAAGCGCTTCACTGACTTAAAATCTCCTCCTGCAGGGTTACTAAGGAGCACAAGATGGCTGCACAGTGCTGCAGTTCCCAAGCGTTCCAGTCCCCAGCTCATTCACCGAAACGCTCTGTAGCTCTCGCAGCCTGCACCCGCTTCCACTCCCGAAGTGGGACTCAGAGCAATCAGCAGACATTTTGAACGCGGAAAAGCTGTATTGTTCTTTCCTCTGGACTCCATCCCACAGCTGAAACGTGGATGGAATTTCTCTACCTGACCTACCGTAAAACTCAGCCACTGCTCTGGGGGAAGGGCACCTAGCATGGAGAACTTGGACCTGCTAAGCCATCTCATGCCGTGACAAGCACAGTCAACGTACATACCGTAACAGTGGTGGTACTTTGCCTTAAGTTACTCACCGATAGATTGAGGAGAATCCATGTATGGGAAATATTTGATGTAGTGACCTCTGTCAGTAGCCAACAGCACGTCAAAGACTCGCTGGGATTTAATTATCCCCTTTTCTGGGAGAAGGAGGAAAACAGAGAAAGAAAGGACTTAAATCCTGAGTCCTGCAGCAAGAAGAGACTTGGAAGAGGGGAGTACAGTTCAGGGAGTTAGTGGAACTGGGAGGATTCAACCTGCAGAATCTGAGAATGGACAGAGAACAAAACCACGGATGGAAGTACATTCTTTTCAGTTTCTGCTACATCAAATGAAATCACGTTATGGTCCCAGCCATCAGCCCAGTCTCTCTCAGAGGATGGTGACTTACACCCACAATGTTTCTGGGGCTGCCAAACGTAATGAAAGATAAATAGAATCACACTTTCACTCCTGCAAGCGGATACTCCGGTTCAGGTTTCAGGAGCACTGGTACAGTGAGTAAGCTAAAGTTATGAGCGATAACTGCACAAACATTCAACATCCCTTCACACCCCATCTCTGAGAGAACTCTTGGAGGGGAAAATCAAACCTATTTTTAAATGCGTTCCAGAGTGCAGCAGTAGCACCAAGCACTACTTCAGTCCCAGGGCATTTCACTGGAGGGGAAGCGCAGGCTGCCAAGAAGCTCAGCATCTACAGGCTCAGAGCAATGTCACTTTGTGCAGCGTTTTAGGTAGTCACGCACTTAGCACTCCAGAGGAGTGGAAGGCAGGCCCTGGATAGTCTTTCCTGCCACTTCTGGCATAACATCTTGTTTCCAATTATAAATAGAACAAGTTCAGACTGGGGCAAATGCTGAACTTCAGGCAACAGTAACTCCATTTCAGAATGAACAGCACCACAACGTATCACTACGTAACACTAAACATCCTCACCCGGAAGCGCCAACAGATTCTATCGGCAGCTTTGGGACGTGCTCTGGACAGGAGCCTGCACCGGTACTCACTGTAGAGGTTGTTGACTAGCTCAGGGTGTGTCTTCCCGCTTGAAGTCCAGGCCATCGTCCTGGCGAAGAGCAGCCCCATGAGTGCAAGCACGGTGCAGGGCAGTGGGCAGCTCATCCCACGGAGACGGACGGCGGCCTGTTGAGAGAGGGAATTCAAAACCCGCCGTGTGACAGGCACCCCAAAAACTGCATCCTTCCTCATTGTAATGCGATCCTGCACTTCCTATACTATTCAAAATACCACAGAGTTGGTACATGACATAGGACAGATGCTCAGCCTCAGGGAATCAACACCATTACCTTGATTACGGCAAGAGCTGTAAGAAATAGTTACCGGCCAGCTGCTGTTCTCCACGTTAAAATGACAAATCACACTTAAAGCAGCTGCTTCACGCTGAGCTCTCGAAAACCCCGTTACGGGCTGGGTGGTGGGGCAGGAACGAAGCCCGTTACCG